TATATATATATATATATATATATATATATATATATATATATATATATATATATTCATTAGCAGCTTTATTATAATTGGGTCCATCAAGTTAGACCCATTTGTCGCGAGAACCAATTGGTCCAGTTCTAGAGCTAAAATTACAAACCCTATAGGGTCTGATTTAGTTCCGATTCCTTAATATTTCTTCTCAGGTCAGTCCCATTTCTACCTAGATCAACCCATTTACGGTCCTACTTGGGTGTAGATTGAAATGGTTTGGTAACACACATAAAAAACCATGTAAAACACCTACTAGAAAAAGTGATCTATTATAAGTTGAAAAAAAAAACAAAGACCAATATAATGAATAAATGAGATAAATCTTTCTCTTTCTCCCTTTGAAATGAGGGTGTAAGGAAAATGATCCACAAACGAAGGGACTGACCCTTTTCAAGTTATTCTCTTTCTAATGTTGCTATCTTAGCTTATAGAATTGGAAACTTAAGAAACCCTAGGTTTCATCGAGAATTTTCTTTTTAACCATGTTTGGTTTTCATAGAAAATAAGAGAAAGAGAAAGTTATCCCCTCATTTTTTCTATTTTTTCTCTTATTTTCTATCAAAATCAAACATATCTATAAGGAACAACTAGACATTCTATCCATCAAAAATAAAAGAAAGAAACAACTAGCTAGACATTCTTAGTTCCAAAACCTTGGCCATTAGTTTGGATTGGTTTAAATTCCATGGTTCCATTATGAAAGGTTTTCCCTTGAGTTGGTAGTGATTATCAACAGTGATCTTTATTTTATGCAAACTATCTCCCTTATTCACATAAGGTGCCATACTATTAGAAAGAAATCGTCATTGAAAATGGTGTCTTGCCTTAGGCTGTGTTTGGTTGCATTACAAATAAATTTATATTAATGCTGCCATGCAAATGATTCGAGCGTAAATTCTAAAATATTTTTTGTTTTAAATTTTAGCTTATTTTATTCGATTGCAATAAAAATGAAGTAAATTAAGACATAGAGCAGAATAAAGTAAAATCCAAAACAAAATTAAACAAGAATTTACATTTTTTACATTTACACTTCCATGCATTTGTACAAGTGCAAATTTAACAACCAAACACAGCCTTAATAACTAACCCACGTCGCCTATGCTACGTTCAGAGTATCATAAACTTTTCAGGATGACGTGGCTTTGATATCTTCCGTCGAAAGGAGAGCATTCTCTTCTTCTGTTTTAGTAGGAGAGAAAGTGAACTTCCATTAAATCTGATGTACCGCGCAGCAGCATATCATTTCACTCCACCTTCCTCTGATAGAAGGAGGATCCGGCCATGGTGGTAGCAGTAGCACTGCTCTCGCCCTGGCTTTCTATTCCCGCCAGCGCCATTTGTTACTACTGCACTCCTTCGAGGGTAAGAGGAGTTTCCCTCGCCGTTGGTTCTAGGGCTAGGGATTTCTACCGGTATTCCTCGGAGAAGATGAACGTCTCCGCTGTAGACGCAGCCGGCGAGCCCAGCCCCCTTGCTTCAGACGCCGGGAATGGCGTCAGAGAGGCAGAAAATTCAGACGTCCTGGTTCAGTACATAGTTCTTCGAAGAGATCTGATCGATTCCTGGCCGCTCGGGAGCGTCGTCACACAAGGTTGCCACGCTTCTGTATCGGCGATCTGGACACACAAAGACGATGCCGAGACTCTCAGTTATTGCAGCCCTGAAAACATCGACTCCATGCATAAGGCAAGATAACTCTACGGCTGCTTGATTTCTTCGAGCTTCGTTGATTGATTTCTCGTGGATTTTGATTTTGCGGGACAAGGGTCCTGGGTGGGATTTATTTAGGGTTGTAAATTGAGTTTTGAATTGTGAAAGTGTTTTTGGGGAGTTTAGTACTTTAGTTTAGAGTTTAACTACAGACTTTTATTGGGCTCTGCGTAAGTAAATCTTGGAAAAGAATGGGAGTGAAAAATGTAGCTGTCTGTTCTTTTAATAACTCAGGTTGTGAAGAACTTCTTTAGCTTCTTTTACGGAATTTGACATTGAGTGTTTGTTTTCATTCATAGGACCGACCATATTTTAATGCAGTTGTAAATTTTTCATAGTAGACAGATGGTTCTGTAACATTATAATTGACTGCTAGACTTATAGAGGGATTGCCATTTGGGTCTCAAATGCTTGTGCTCGATTGCATCCCCTCACATTGAAGAATTTTGATTTTATTGTTCTGGTTTGACATCAGGATTTCCCATCAAGTGCCAGTGGAACTTAACTTTCTTTGAGTTTTCTAGTTGAGATGGAGATGATTTTCTTCTTGATTTGGAGGTTAAGCTAACTCTTGATTTGTTTTATCAGATTGCTTGGTTCATATTTTAATTGTACAAAATGAGGAAATGAGATTGTGTTTAGACATTGTCCTGGTCAACCTGAGCTTAACTAGTTCATTGAACTGGTCCTATAATATTTAGCTTTAATAGATTTGATTATACTCTTGGCTAAATAACATCATTTAATCTTTTTAATGGGGGTTATATTAAGTATCGAAATCACTTTTTTCTTTTAAGTATGTGCTATTTCTGCATAAATGCCTCTCTTTGCTCAAGACCAGGCAATTTTGATGGTAAGCAAGTCTTTAGACTGATCATCGATAGTTGGGGGGATGGGAGATCACCTAGATTTTATAACTTTTATTAACATGCCAAGATATTAACATGGTCACAGATGAACAGGGATGCTGCTCTATATTTCCCAATATCCAGGACATGGTTATATGTATGGGTATCCCATTCAATATGCTTATGCCATACTTTATATCTGGTTCTTAAGCTAATATGATCCCTTAATACTTCTATATTTCTAAATTTAATTAACTTCTATTGATAAAAAAGGTTAATTAATTTTTAAACATATCTAGATTTTCTATGGTGTGGTTTATTATGGTTTAACATTTTAAAATTAATGTTATGGAATATATTTAGAAATGTTCATACAGTATAAAAAAGGTACATACAATGTTAGATACAGGCAAACCAAGCATGTAATGGAGGTGCAGGGTAAAGAAAAGAAACCATGGAAGAAGAGAATTATAATTCAGCATATAAGATCTTGCCACACATTGAAGAAACATTTTAATACTTATATATAGTTTTTTCCCTAAAATTTCTTCTGATTTCCCTTCAATTTCCGTCGTCTTGATTAATCAATAACTCATATCTAGCTACTTAGAGCAAGAGAGCTGCTTTTTTTTTCGTACCTGCAGAACATGAAAACTGCTTTTTTTGTTTATGGGCCCATTACACATGTATGCACTATGCAGCAAACAAGTTTCCTAGGTGGAGGTCATGAGTCCATGACTTTTATTTTTTATTTTTTTTCCTGTAGCATATAGGCTATGGGCAGCATTTGTACAACTACTGAGAAGACAACTTCAAGTCCAACAGTCCAACTTTTACAGCAGTGGTATCACAACTGCCATGATTCTTTAGTTTTCCCAATCAAACATGAATAGTTTTATAATTTTGTGTTTCTATTCCCCATGAAAGAGAACCTGCATTAAACATATCCATGCTAGACACAGTACATTATGCTTGTAAAGTTTTTCCTCGTCATTTCCTAAATATAAGAGAAAGTGTTTTTTTTCCCCATCCTTCAAATGCCCAGAGATCTTGAAAATACTCTTATCTAGGTGCTTCTTTGGTTTTGCAGGTTACTCTGGAGGTTAAGGGAGAAACACAGCTCTTGAACTTTTCTGAAAAACTTAAAAATGCAGGTATTGCCCATAAGCTGTGGATTGAACAACCTGAAAACTTCCCCACATGTCTTGCTACTAAGCCATACCGCAAATCTATTGTTTCTTCATTTTTCAAGAAGCTGAAACTCTGTAAGTGAAGTGATTTATCAAAAAAAAAAAAAAAACTCTGTAAGTGAAGTACTAATTGTATCAGCCTCAAAGTTAAGTTTGAAATGGGTCCTTGGAAAATGCATACAGCTCCAAAGCACAGCTTTTACATGTTTTAAGGTTGGTGATGAATAGGCAAAGCTGAAGCAGAGAATGCTATAATTGGGAAGGAATACATTCTTTCTTTTTATTTTTTCCCCCGAGTTGTTACTAGTGCAAACAAACAACTTAAGGTCAGTCAATCATGGTACCTCTAGGGCCAATTTTTTATTTCTCCCTCTATCTTTTGATCATTGTCATGCCTGGATGGATCCTAAGGATGTAACTCAAAACCTACCATTGCATATGTTGAAGATTTAAATCTCCCCTTTCTGAGCCTATTCCTCGAGATCATCTATCCCAAGAAGCTGACCCCATTCTACTAACATTTCGGAGTTTGGAGTATATACAGAAAAAGAATAGTGGGTATTCACATTCATTGCACATGGCTTATATGACATGGTTTACCTATATTTGTGGCTTAAAAAAAACCTTACCTTGAGACATTTCAGAGTTATAATCTTATAGACTTATCATGAAGCTTTTTTTTTTTCCTTTTAAAACTTCAAATGAAAACTTAAATTTCATTGGTTGTAATTTCTGTAGAGTTTTAGTTTTGGTTTGCACTTTTTAACTTAGTAATTAGTTAATGTATTGCCATTGGATTTTTCAACTTTGCTCTGTTTTCGTTGACTCTCATTATTCTCAATTTTCATAAATTCAACCTTAAGAAGTGATTCCTAGAATCACAAAATTTAAGAAGAAATTCTCTGAAAGCATGCCAAACGCAGCTTTAGATGCATGAGGGCGAAGCTTTGAGGTGTAATTCTGAAGCCTCACGAATTTCTAATTCTAATAAAACTAAAATGGGAGAAGAGTAGAAAAATTTACAGGTTAAGCATATTGTTATATAGGAAGAGTATTAATAAAAAAGACAAGAACCATAAGAATATTGGATTATTTGTAGTCTTGTATGGAAAACCATTTCATTCTTATAAACCATTTTGATAATAACTATTAATAAGCTTAAAATCTAAATTAACTACTCTTTAAACATGACGAGACATATATACGAACACAAATCTAAATTAACAACTCCTGCCAACTTCCCAACTTTCAAGACCCCCTCCGGCCCTCCCTAGACTAGAGTTTGGCTGCAGATTCGCGACTTTGAGGAAAACCGATACCAAGAAGTAAAGTACACCAGAGAAATGCAAATGCCGTATGTTCTTGTTGGAAGAGTTTGTGGTGGTGGCAAAGTTCAAAGTATCGACACGTATTGGCCATCTTCCTGATATGCCCTTATAGTGGATGTATCGGGGTTCTGACTGGTTCAGGGGATGGAGGAGTTTTAAACCAGCCAGCTCCCCTGAATCGGTTTTAAAAAAATAAAAAAAAAGTAAAAATAGTATCGATATTGCCTGGCATATCGGGCGTATTGATATTTTGAACCTTGGGTGGTGGCACCTCTCAACCAAGTGATGGGGCTTGTGGGCTGTTGGGTGGCGTTTAATCCAACGGCCCTATACTGCATATGATGTTTTAGACTACTACTACATCATGTATGAGTTGTTTCCCGGCTAATAGAAAGTACTTTTTTTTTTCTTTTTTCAGAGACGAATGACGTTCGACTTATATGGAACAGTGATAATGTAATAATGCTGGTTAGTTTATAGGGGTAATAGCATATAAGGACAACTTTTTGGGTTTAATATCAATAAACGTAATATATTTAAAAAAATTTCAGAAATAGATTAACTTTTTAAAAATAATATCAATAAAGGGTAAAAACGCTGTTCATTTTCTCCTTGCCATTTGTTCACCAGAGTTGCCATCCGCCGTTGCCTGCCACCATCGTCCGCCCTCACCGCCGCCTCCACCCACCTCCGCCTTTGCCTCCGGCAACATTGCCGGAGGTGGCCGGAGGCAGAGGTGGCAGCGGCGGCACCGGTGGTCATTCCTCTGCCCGCTGCCACCGCCACCTTTGCCTCCGGCCACTGCCGGAGGTGGAGGTGAAGGCGAACGACAGCTCTAGTGAACAAATGGCAAGAAGAAGATGAACAATGTTTTTGCCCTTTATTGATATTATTTTTAAAAAGTTAATCTATTTTTGATTTTTTTTAAATATATTACTTTTATTATTGATATTAAACCCCCAAAATTGTCCTTATATGCTAGAAACCCTAGGGACGGTGGCTCTGGTGAACAAATGGCAAGAAGTAAAAGATGAACAGTGTTTTTGCCCTTTATTGATATTATTTTTAAAAAGTTAATCTATTTTTGAAATTTTTTTAAATATATTACTTTTATTATTGATATTAAACCCCCAAAATTGTCCTTATATGCTAGAAACCCTAGTTTATATTGTAAGCACATGCACATGAGAACGTCCTTACCTTGGGTTTCTTATTTTCTGTCTAACGGTAAGGAAAGGATATATGCATTATAAACTCACTGAATGCGAATGCCGAAAACGAATGATGGTTCTGGTTCTGGACCTTCCGGTTCCCGACAGGCTCATTAGTCATTTTTTCATCAATTTGGGTTTTAGGCTTTTGGGGTGGCAATGATCATTTCACCCTGCCATGCTGCTTGCCTTTTGATGACATGGCTTAGTCTGGCTTTATGATTATTGATTTATGCAATGCCAACTGTTGGGCTGTGTTGGGCTAGGCATATTAAAGCCCTGGCTCCCTGCTATGGTTGACTGATTCCATCCGCATTTGCACCCTGTCATTGGTTCCGAATCTTCTGATGACAGGACCGTTTTATCTATCATTCAAAGGAAATTGGATTTCCTCCCCACAAAATTATTGGTCTTTTACATTTCACAACATTTGTAGTCGTGCATGGGAACATTTTTGTATTTGTATGTTTTCATTCATGGGGAAATATTTTCGATCGCACAGCTGCAAGTGTTGTGCGGACCAATTTTGTGAAAGGAAGGTGGGTTCGATTTACACCAAACCTGGCAAGTTGAAGCAACCTGTTAACAAAAACCATCAATTAGACAATTAAACTGGTGAATTGTTCGCACCATTGATTATATCATGTGTGTGTGGTATTGTGGGCCGGACCGGGCTGGGCCAAGTTAGAAATAATCATTTCCCTCCACGTGGGCTCCGTGTCTGTGAGGAGCAGAGCCAGTCTCTTAACTAGTCTTTAAAAGAACCCGTGCAAATAAGTAAAGTCATATAGTTTAACTGGTTTTACCAAGTCTTCATCATCCATCTTTTAAACAACAACTATATGATTAGAATTAAGAAAGAATTATTTTTCTTCTCCTATTTGAAAGACTCTCAAGACTCCCAAGTACTACAGTATTCTGCACTAACAATAATGCCCAGAATATAGAGAAAACAAGTGGCTGTATACTGCAACTTGAACAATTTACAAGGCTCAATCTTATCCAGCTTTCCCAAAAGACAGGTCTACCTGGAAACATTTTTTGAATTGGGCCTCAAATACCGACCTGAGCTTAGGTCATGTTGAGGGTTCAGTCGGCTCAAGTCTTACACAGGTAGAACAGTATTAGACTAATGCCTCAAGTGCGTAGGATACTATTTTGCATTCTATAGCTCAAAAAAAGTTTTTAAGTTCTATAGCTCAATTTAGCTTTAAACAATACCGTAACACAAGCCTAGACTTGGACAAAAGGAACTTTGACCAGTACATTTTGGTTGTGTTTTGACTGCTCAATTCTTAGGGCTGTGCTAAGGCTGATCCTTAAGCATGTAAGGAGTACATCATGCCCCAGAGATGTAAACCATAAACTTGTGTTATAACTTATAAATACCCAGAAAAAACCACAATCAAAATAATATGAATAGCAAAGGTCATGAATGAACAAATATTGAATTTTGGAAGAAAGAATCACAGATTGGAAAAATGGATGATGATACTTATCCATCAACTTCCTCCTTTCTGTTTTAGAGTGATTTTGTCTCCCAGACTTAGGGCAATCCCCTGGGTCTTGCTCCTTATCCTTATGTACCCACTGAGCTTCCCGTCTGCTTGTTTCTCAATGCTCAGGTTTACCAAAGCATCTTCCCCAAATACACTCTTAGCATACAGGTTAGCAGAAAGGAATCCACATTCTCCATCTAACACTGATCTGTATCAGGACAGCAACAAAGAGGAAAAAAAATAATAAAAAAGAAAATAATGATCAGTCAGTCTCAATATGAAGGTCAAGGAGAAATGTATGGGATAGATCAAATTTGAGCAAGCCTTTCAAAACCATGCAGAGTATAACGAGGGTTTTTCTGTTCTCTTTTTGATTGAGGCAACAAGTAGGAGCATCCTGTAGGCGGGGCAGTTAAATGCTGGCCTGCCCCAATGCATATGCATTATGTCCACTACATAACAGGTAGGCTTTAATTGGGCCCAGACAGAAGATATTTCTAATTCTTCTTCCTTTTATTTAATATTTTGTTTATTCCTTTTTTTCACCATATACTGGAAAGAAGCTTAACCAATAAAAGGAACATACAGAGGAGAAGGGTGAGAACTTACGGTGGAGTAAGACACTTCATATTTGTAGAGTTGATGATGTGATTCAGGAATTCTTTCTCATCTTGAATTACAGTATTCACTGCCACCTGAAAATGAAATCATAGACTGGATCATCCAAGCACAGCAGAAGATAAAAAAAAAAAGATGATTTGGGCAGCATAGAGAATTCAGAAAAAGAAAAAAAGGGGGCATTCTTATGTGGTTTGTACCAGAAAAAGAAAAAGAAAACAAAAGCTAATTGAATAAACTCAAGGAAATGCTACCCTAACCTTTTCTTCTTGATCAATCTGTAAAACATCCTAAAAATGCCTCTCTATTAATTCCTACTTTTTTTTCTCTTATAAATATATCCTTCCAAAATTAAAGTTTTCTCCACAAAAGTGACAATCTTTGCATATTTATTAGCCCAATGGAAGTGACAATCAAAAGAAGACAAAAGTGGCATGCCACTTAAAGGTTTATATGTCATGTAGCACTGTTAAACATGACAGCATAAGGTCCAAGTATGCAAAGAATGTCTAGCTAAAATCAGTTTAGTTGCCTTGAAGAGAAATGCAGGATCTCATGTACATGTATTAGCATACTTCTTTGCATCAAATTGCTCCTTTCAGAATTTAACTTGTTTCACTTGGCCATGAGATAGCATCTGAGAAACAAAAGCATAAGAAGTATGAAAGACCTTTCCGTTTATGAGTTTATCTGAACCAAGTCAACCTTACCAAGATAATTATATAGCTAAAATTTATTTTGCCACGTGGTACCATTATATTCTAATACAACATGTTGTTAGGGCAGAGTTAATCACTGCTGTTTTTGGGGTATAAAAAGCTGGGGAAATGGGAATCACAAGGTTGGTTGTGGAAGGGATTCAAAAATAATAATTGGACACCTGAGAAAGGAGGGGGATGATTTGGCAATACAGGAATGATGTCAGGCGGTTCAAGATGTTGTCAAGAGCTATGAACATTCAAGTTAGATGGTAAGAAGGTCCACCACTAATGGATTGGCTGATGGATTAGCTAAGCAAGGAGTGCGTAGAAATCACTTGTATTGGACTCAATTGTAATGGGATGGTGGGGTTCTTTTGATGTAAAGGGTGTTCAGATTTAATAACCTCTTGTTGTAACCTTTTTCTTAATTAGTTTTAACAAAATTTTCTTTGTTTCTGATAAAAAACAAAAAAAAAAACATTAAACTAATTATTGCAATACTATAATTCAATTATTGGGATGTGGCTGATAAAGTAAAAATTAGCATGCACAAAACTCTAAACTTCGTATTCCCCAAAACAAAACACAGTACTTTTGTAAACTTCATTTAAAACTTTAGACAAGCCAAACAAAAAAAAGAAAAAAGAAAAAAATACATTTCTTGACATGATGTATCCCGACTAGAACATGGTAATAAAACGGAATATTTACTGTCATTTTCTCTAAGAAGTCTATCTTTGACCACATTTTGTGTCCATACTTTTGAAACAAAATTACTTTTAAACATGGATTATTCCTATACCCTTTTTACTAAACCATGTTTTGCTAACAATGTACTGAAACCATATTCTATATATGGCAGCATGGCTAATAAAATGGGCATCATCAAGCAAAGAGTCTGAACAACTCACCCAGCAAATTATTCTGGGCTGAGTTGTAATTCTGACTGTGTTGGGGTTCAGCTTCACTAACTCTAGGGCTTGAACCTGTTCACTTTTTACTAAGATTTTTAATCAAAGTTACCATTTCCTATCAAAAATAAAACACACAACATACACAACTGACCCAGCAAATTGTTTTTCCTTCTTAATATTAACCCATCTAGATTGTAATCTCAAAAATAGATATTCACCAGCAACCTGAGGTAGATGCTCAAAGTGAAAAGGCTCTCAGCTAGAAACACGTGGAGAAAATCAGTTCTTTGAATAATGATGGATTGGACATTAGGGATAAAAAGCCCAATTACATACAAATATCTGAGCGCCAAAAACCATATGTAAGAATCTGAATCAGAGGAGGCCATACAGATAGATGGCAATGCCCTTCTCTGCACAGGGTCTAATGATGGTGTTCCACATGGTATAAAAAAGGAATTTGGTTGGAAGCTCATTTGGACAGACGTTCTCAATCTATTTGATATTTCTGCAGAAACCCACCAAGGCTACAGGGAAGGGGAAAGGTCAAAATTGAATATAAACTGGAGGTAGATGGATCGATCAGACATTAGTGAGATTATCATTAGTAGATTTCAAGTCTTAAGGATGGCACTAACACCATTCTTTCCCATATAGTTTCTTCTACCATCTTAACTTAAAAAAAACAAGGAAATCCAATGCTATCTCAATTTTCACCATACTGACTTGGAGAGATACTTTAATTGGCTTGAATGTTATTGATGCTTAACAAACAGTAGCCATTCATCTATTCTAGTTCTTCAAAAAATGAAGCATGTTCTACTTAAATATTAGACATTTGTTCAGAGAACCAAGATAATGAGCATGCAATGCTCATTTTGGTGGATCAGAGCTTTGTTGTTCTCTTGCAATGACAAGGATTTACTAAAATGGAACTAGAATGGGGGGCACCAGGGCCTGGGGATAACTTATATTATTCTCAATTCTTTGAACTTTCTTTGTTGAGTCAGATTTAGGTGGTTTGTAATGCACCCTCTCAGACTCATTGGGTGTTTTCTTTTTTCCTTCTTACAATTAATAAATTTTTTTATTGCTTTTTCTGTTTAAATAATTATCATAAAAAGCTAAGTGAAAGCAATTTTTTTTTATAATCAGACAAGTATAAGTAACTCTGCATAATAAAGATACCTTGTTTTCCCATTCAAACTCAGCCCACATAGTTCTGAATGCCCAGTCAGCACAGTTTGCTGGAGAGATGTAGTCCATGATATCAATGTGGATGTCATTGAGGACAATAACTGTTCGTTCAAGCACATTCGAAGTCTCATAGACAATGTTCCCAAATATGACTCCTGTTTCAGTTGATGAGACCTTAATATTTGCCTTTATCTGCTTACTTGATTCTGGAGCTAGTGTATAGTTTTGTGGACGTTCCACGAGCTTGAGATCACCCATGGTTGCTAACTCCAAGCACAAGTTCTGTAGTGTCTCCTTAGTTCGATTAATTATGGTAACATCAAGGACAATGTCATAATGATGAACTGTCACATATGCTTCAGCGTACACAGGATCACTAAATCCTGTAAGTTGAAGAATGCGGTTGAGCTTATTTGCATCATCACCATCCTTGGAAAAGTCTCCAGTGGCACGTTTTAGATCATCATGGATCTGATCTTCCAACTCAAGCTGGCTCATTCCCTGAAAATGAAGGTAACTTAGATAGATGCTAATATTTCATGGACCAGTAAACTGGTCATAAACCAGAACAGTCTTGAGTTGGTCACTTATAGCTCAGTTTTCTGTTGCAAAACATGCCCAAAGGATTTATTTGATTAGCTACAAGAAGCATAAGATAACATTATTTTAGAGTGATAGGGGAGAGAGGGATCCAAAACCCAGAAGATTCATGCAGAAAATTTTTCATTTTGGATTCGTTGTAATTTAACATATCAATAACAGACATGTTCAAAGAAGATTTGTCAATTGGTTAAATATGAACATAAAAGAAAAACTCCTTGCCTTCAAAAGATCAAGAAACAAGGGATACTAAAAGTCTAAACAGCATATGTTGACTCTAAGATGAATACATCTAGCCTCTTGGGAATAAATCATGGAATGGTGTTCCACTCAAGACGAGGTCTTCCAACTTCCCTAGTGAGTGTGTTCAAAAGGGGTCATCATAGGCCAGGCGAAACCTAGTTCCAAGCCATGCTTTTGGGCCGGGCTAGAAATGATCACCCCTAGTGTTGACTATGCCTTCTGCTGTTCTCTCTTATTTTCTATCAAACCAAACATAGCCTAAGTTAGGGGCTACTTGATAATGACTGAAGTGGCTGAACTGAACAACTTATTGCTTTGTCTTTTAGTGGATAATCATTTAAAAAAAAATTGTGGTACAAAAATCTATATTTGAGATTATATAATAAAATATTCATGCCTTTTCTTCAGCCGTTAAGGAGCTCATAACCTACTTAATAACTTATTCACTAAAGCACAAAGCAATAAGTCATTCAGTTGAGCCACTTCAGCTTTTATCAAACAGTCTCTTAATATGATTAGGCTCACAACTTATTTGGTATAAATTTAGCTCTAGAAGTAACAATTTTAAGAATTTGGGTAAAAATTAGAATAGGAGAAAAATTTATATGAAGTTCTTACAGACTTTAAGGCAGTGTTGCATGGATACAGACAAAGGAGTCGGAGTCCAAATGCGTGTCCAAGAGTTTTGACTCAGGAAGACAAGAAAACATGGACTCACAGACATGTCTATGGATTAGTATAGACATTAATATAGTTTATATTTCTTGAATTCTAATATTATATACCTACAAAAAAGAGTATAAAATGTTGCCTGTGTAACTAAAAAATGTTTTCAATCCATGGTTGAACTAGCTGGTTGGGCAGGTCAACCTGTCACCTGGCAATATTTCTAGGTCCATTTCACCCCTAAAGCATTCATTTGCAAAAAACCATTGACTCAATTAACAGCATGGTAACCTTGCCGAATGAACTGCTGAACCACTTAACCTAGTCAATGGATCATGGGTTAGACATTTATTCCCATCATTAATAACAATAATTCTCATTCATCACTTATTTTTATTTAATATGATAAATATGTAATATTAGAGACATGTCATGCTTTTTTCTGCATTTTCTGTATTTTTGTTTATTTGTTATTTTATTATTTAGTTTATGGTGTCATGGGTTGACCCATTTGACCGAGAAGGTTGAACTGCTGATCTGCTACCCTGGAGAAAATTGGTTCCATTTCCAGGTCAGTTTTTAAAACAGTTACTATACAACATATGAAAGATAGAATTCATCTTGTACATTAGCTGTTCATTTTTGTCAAATAAGCTAGAACATAAAAGAGGAAATGTCATGTAGAAGTATCCATCAAGAATATATAGTGCCAGAATCTAATGCAGACACATCATCCATCTAGGAGAGTTAATACAATACTGCTTTAATGTGTTCTTAAGTCTACCCAGAAACAGTCAGGGGATTGCAAAGGCTCACTGTCAGAAGGGATTTGTTCTCACACTTTATGCATGTGCATATGAAGATCTACCTGTTGCCTTTGCTATACAGTATACATTATATGCAAAATTTGATTAGTGTTACAATGGGTAATAGAGATCTGCCCTCACCTTCTAAGGTCTAATTGTTTTATACAGCTTTTAATGCCACCCAGGGTATTGGAATGTGTGAAAAGTTGTATAATATAATTAAACCTTGAAGCTTGAAAGGCAACAATTCTGTATAATTCACAGAAGAAAAAAGTAATTCTGTGTTTATTAGACATTCTAAACTCTCAACATATAAGAGATGTCAAAAGCAGTAGTATAGTCTTACCTTCCTGTTCTTCAAATGGTAGAAGTCGATGAGGTCATCTGGTTGTGCACGAGAAATTTGAGCCTTTGCTTTTATCTCCTCTGTTTCCCTCAGCTGTTTCTCTGCAAGCATTTTAACAAAACTTTGACGGCATGACTCCAACCATATCTTCCTAATCTGCTGGCCAGTATTGCATAGCAATCTAATGCAAAGCACAACCCTATCATAAGAGTCACTGTCAATTGGATGTGGAAGAACTGGAGACTGTCCCAACTGCAACATAGAGACCATGATTAATAAGATTTCACTAGATGTTTTGCTAACTTCAATCTTTGATGACTGAACCTCTTCATATCTCAAAACAAGCTTTGTCAGTGTACAGGCAACAACAGCCCCAAGGAAGAAGTCACCAGTAAGGATGAGAGATCGCAGATTCCCAGGAGATGCCAAGGACCCTGAAACAATGGAAGGAGGAGAGATAGCAATTTCTGAGGCAGCACTCTGGGTTGCGTAGGTCCCATCTGCAAGGATCGCGGGTCTTCTAGAGGAGACAGTTATAGAATTAACTTGCTGAGACTTTTTAGGAGCATCTACAGCATTCTTTTCTTCTGCAGCAGTGTAGAATGGAAGTTCTCCAAGACACTGCTTAATGGTTGCAATTCCATTCTCAACTTCTGAAAGAGAGAGACAATATTCTCCAATGATCCAAAGAGCACAAGCACAAACTCGTGTAGCACGGATCTGATAGAAGGTGTCTAAGAGTCTTGTTATTATTGAAATTCTTAGTTTTGGGTTAGTTGTAATTATTTCTCGCACAAAAATTATCACGTCTATAGCTGAAGAAACATTATTATCCCCTAAGAAATCCATCAACAGATGAACCACAGTGCTGGCCACCTCAGGGAATTTGATAGCACAAGAATGTATAGCCTGAACAAGCATTTGCCGGTACTCGCCATTCTTCTCAAGCTCCGTACTCTGAGTCTTCATGACTTCCTTCTTCAGAGTGAGAACAACCTCATCTATATTCCTAGGAGTTATCAGTTCGAGAACGATATCGATTGTTTTCCTGCGAATGTCAAGGTTGGGGCTAGAAAGAGCCCTGAGTACATCCATGATCATATCAACCATAACATCTCTGTGAGAAGACTTGAGCTCATGCAGACGATCAAGCACAATAAGCTTAACATTGTTGTCACTCTGAGAGAGAAGAAGCTGGCAATAGGTGCTGGCAGCAGCCCTGATAGCCGTGGGGGCGGACGAGAGAGAAACAAGCGCGCCAGCACATTCATAAATAACGGCTTCGGATGGTGCGTTCAGTAGAGAAATGATGATCTTAATGTACTTCCCCTTCTCTCCCGGATTCGTTCTGCAAACCTTTCGGATCAACTCCAGAACAACCATCTGAATAGCTTCCCCCCATTCAGGGATACTATCAACGTGGGTGAGGAGGTAATTGAGTGCACGATCCTGAGCGCAATTGAAGAGCATAAGGAAAGCATTTCGCTTGGCCGAAGGATCCTGCTCAGACGAAAGCCCCTTCTCGATCATCTCCGGTGCATCGACAAGAAGCTGCTCCCCCTGAGGAAGCTTGTAGATCGACATAACCGCAAGGATTGCATTCCTCCTAACAAACTGATGACGATGTTCCAAATTGGACAAAACCGAAGGAATCAATGGCTCAATGATCTCCGTCTCGTTCATCCGACAAAGGAATCTCAGAGTAACACCACGAATGTATTCGTTCGGGTGCTGGAGATTATCCCTGAGTTTCTGGCATATCAGGATCATTTCCGGGAGAACTTTCCCTTTGGAATCCGTTTTATCGATGATCTCCAAATACAGAAGCAAAAGCTTCCGAATCGTGTGATCGTCGGTAGGCAAGACATACCGAATAATCGTGATGAAAAGCTGAGGGATGGTTTCTCCATTCAACAACAGCATGATGGCGTTCTTCATTGCTTCGATCTTCGCAGCAACATCGTTTCCTTCAAGAGCCTCCTTGATCTCGTTAGCGAGAGCAGGAGTTGCTCGGTCGAAGTGAATTAACAACGTAGAAGATTTCTCCATTTCCTACCGTGGTTCCTCCAAATTCTACAACGCCTGTTTCGAAACCTTAACTACTCGGAACTCGTGCTGCAAATTCAACAATTTCAATTGTTAAGGTTTGAGAATCGAGTAGTAACAGAGAAATTCACAGACGTTCCTTGCTCCTACACCAGATCGAAACACTACGTTTCTTACGTTTTGATCGGTTGTGGAAGCTATATGAATGGATCTGAAAAATCGCGAAAAAGAGAGAGAGAGAGAGAAAACTGCCCTCTCTCAAATCTGCGTTTTCTGAGATCTTGTAACCAGAAAAATCTGCATCCTTCCGTTTTCTGGTAGTCAAGAGTTCAAACTTCCATGAGTGCGAAGTTCAAACTAAACAAAAAGAACCGGGTTCAAGTCGGTCGGGTAGAGCGGGTTCAAAGCCCCTACACTCTGGACCTCGGGTTCGGTCCAACCCGAGGTCAAAGAGTTGTTAGTCAGCTGACTCAGTGCCAAACTGTCAATTTAGGCTGAGCTATAACCTCAGTTTGGAAAGTGTATAAATACAAATATGTACAGTGCAAATACATACAAAACAATACAAAATACAAGATTTTGCACTCCATATATTTGCATTTGTACTCCTTCCAAACTGAGCCATAAATGCAAATTTGTTCAAATAGAAAGATGCAAATTTGGTTCGGTTTTGCATTCATGAATTTACAGTGATTATATGTATTGGCCAACTTTGTGTAAAAAGGGTTGAAAAATAAATTAGTTATGCTGTGTTTGGTTGCAGTGCAAATTTATTTGCACTGATGCAAAATTATGGCTGTGTAAATTTTGATTTATTTTTGTTTCAAATTTTACCTTACTTTGATTGCAGTATAAATGAAGTAAAATAATACCTAAAGCAAAACAAAGTAAAATCCAAAACAATATTAAACCAAATTTTGTATTTTTTACATTTGTACTAGTACAAATAAAATTGCACTGCAGCCAAGCACAACCCTTTGGAAGGAGTGCAAATACAAATATATAGAGCGCAAATCCTTGTATTTTGTATTATTTGAAATGTATTTGTACTGTTCATATTTGTATTTGTATTCCTTCCAAACTGAGGCCTAGTACAAAATACATCTTTTTGCATTATACATATTTGCATTTGTACTCTTTTCAAACTGAGCTTTAATTTTAATTACTTTCATTTCCCGTACAAAACATATTCTTACCAAAAAGCCTACAAAACTGAACTGGAGTAAATTTTGTTTCATTCTACATTTGTATTCTTACCAGAGCAAATCCCAACTCAAAATTGTACATGGAATGGGCTTGGAAGCTGGCTTCAGGCCCAAAACATCAAAAAATTTCATTTTGAGAGTTGAGCCTGGGACTATAACTTAGCTAACCCAAGCCCAATCTGAGTGTGTCAAATTTTAGCCTTGGCTGGGCTTAGTTGGGTAAATCGGCCTTAACCCCAACCTTGGTCCAGATTCAAAACTTCAGCCTATTAGGATTGGGGTCTAAGTTGCCTTTGATTTTTGTAATCAAAATATCCCTATTTGTTAATTTTCCCTCATTTTTATGAAGGCAAAAGTCATAAGGAGGTGTTTGGTTTTATCATGTATTCATTCTGCATAACAAGTAATAAATAATATGAAAAAGTAACACTCATGTTTCTGGTTGTTTTTGTGACTTATCTGCCCCTATTTGGTAATCTATCCTCTCATTATATGGTAAGGACAAAATCGTAATTGGCATGGGTTACATTGAAGGAAACTCTCCCATCTTTCTTGAGAGATCTCCAATGGTTGTATATGTGTTTTTTGTTTCCAAAGCTAAAACAAAAAAAAATGCGTTCTTGAATTTCTGGCTTGGAGGTTTTTGCATAGTAAAGAAAGCACTTTTTTTGGGTAGAAAGTAAAGAAAGCACTTTGAGTAAATCTGTTAAGATCCAGATATTTAGGTAATAATGACAGAATCCCTAGAAAAAAAAATTGTTACTTTGTTAGCCCTTTAAAAAATGTTTCAAGATCTGGAGATTCTAAGTGTCAACTCTGATGTTAATGTTTGGAGCATTCCTTTGATTCAGAATGGAAATAAAGATGCTCTTCCTTTTAGCCCTCCAAGTGGAAATTTTGTGGATATGAAAGCTAAAGACTTGAGTGATTTTCAAGCATATGAAGTTGGAATGCTGACATATTGAATGAAGTTTTCCTTGGGTCTCTGGTTAGGAATGTTTTAAATACTCAAATTTTCAGAGAAAGGAGGAAAGATAAAATAGTTTGGTGGACTGCTAGTTCAAGTTCTTTTTCTGTAAAGGATTTCTACAAAAATGAATGTATAATTGAAGGCAATAATTTTTCTTTCTCAGGTTATATCCTATTTTAAAAGAATTTGGAAACTCAAAATCTCTACTGGATTTAAGCTGTTCCTTTGGCGTGTTTGTAGAAATTTTGTGGGGATGAGGCATGTTTTAGCTATTAAAGGTAATGGATAGAGCTATTTTGTTTGCAAATCCTTGGTCTTTTTGTCTCCAAGACGATCAGTTTTAATCTGCACTTGATTTTGTTCTATTTTTTGTTTTAGAGGTAAGAGTGCAATTTCAGCAGACTCGGGTTGAGCTTTTGTCAAAATTCAAATGGTCCCGACATGAAAGCCCAAGCCCAAAGCAGTGTAAAATGCCTACTTGGGCCAACCCGAATTGCACCAATATTTGTAGTTGTAGGGTTCTCAACAATGTGAATGGTAACACAATTGGCAATTGTTTTTGTTTCAGAAATTAAAATAAAACCATTCACATAACAACCCCATAATGATAAGAATGAAAGTAATACATCTTTAGAGTTGATAGCTGTGGCCTGACAATCTAACAATGTGTGGTATTGCTAGAAATGAGCTTTGTTTTTAATAACAGATATAGAAGTTGTGTCCTAGGTGGGCCTTGGCGCAACGGTTGAGTTGCTCCATTCCGACTTGGGTGACCGGGGTTCAAATCTTGGAAACCGCTCTTGTGTGTGCAAGAATAAGTCTGTGTACATCTTTCCCCCAGATCCGGCCCACATTAACGAGAGCCTCATGCATTGGGCTATTCTCATATAGGAGTTGTCAATGGGTTTATTTATATTAATCAAATTTTGAATGGAAGAGGTATATCATCTCAAATGAAAGAACCTCAGCAACCAAATCAATATGAGGGTAAAGTTTTGTCACTTGCTTAATTCTAAAAGTGATCATACTTACTGTATTACTTGTAATGGTGGAATAGATTTGAATAAGTGTCTTATGATCTTGTTGCATTCTTTAATGGTAAGTTTTTGGTTGTTGCAGGTGATCTGTTGCTGTTGGGAATGATCCAGGAAAGCACAAAAGCTGAATTATGGGCATATTATATAAAATTCCTTTTTTTTGCTAAGGCTCAGACTCTCTTTGGTTTGTTTCAACTCTTAATAGTTCACAGTATGTCATTTCTTGGAAATATTGATCAATTTTGGACCGTATCAAAATTCAAAACATCCTAATCTATTTATTTATTTTTTTTTTTTGAGAAAGTTTGTGTTCAACATTTTTCTAGGAACTTCAATAGGGTTGCTCATCTTATGGCCAACATGCTAAATCTTTCTGTTGTTGATAGTTAGAATAGTAGTTAGTTCAGTCAAAAAGGGTAAATTGCATTACTGCTATGTACCAAGGTTAAAAGTATCGATACGTATTGGCCCATATCAGTTGATACGTATCGTTCCAGGACCTCCCTGACATGCATCGTTCCGAGACCTCCCTGATATGCATCGTTCTGGGACCTCCCGACGTATCGGGGGTCTGACCAGTTCAGGGGGTGGAGGAGCCCTAAACCGCCCCCCTGAACCGGTTTTGAAAAAAATAAAAAAGTAAAAAAAAAGGTATTGATATTGCCCGATACACCCTTACCGGCATATCGGGCATATCGATATTTTGAACATTGCCATGTGTTTGCTGAAATAGAGCTGTCGAATGAGAGAAGACGAAGAAGAAGAAGATATGAGATGGGCGGCAGAATTAGTTCTCAGCCAGCCCTAATCTATTATRTATAACAACATTACATRATGTTACATAAATAGACCAGAATGCCCCTGATTAGTGGAGGGACACCTAGTCAAATAAACACTAAATAAGATTAGGCCCAGTAATTAAGGCCCAATAACTAATGACTTAAGACCCAACAAGGATAAACATACAAAATAAGACAGCCAAACCAACATTCCCCCTCAAGCTAAGCATGGATGTCAATCATGTTTAGCTTGCCAAGTAAGTCCAAGAATTTTACTGTAGCTAGCCCTTTAGTCAGAACATCTGCAATCAGCATCTCGGAGGGAGTATAAGGGATGYAGAGTTCTCCTGAGACGATTCTTTCTCTGACAAAGTGACGGTCTATCTCAATATGTTTAGTTCTATCATGTTGCACTGGGTTATTTGCAATGTTGATGGCAGCCTTGTTGTCACAG